TTACATTGGCTCAAGTCTCCTGTCTTCCCTCTGCCCCACACTGCCCTCCTCCGTGGGGACCGGGAGTTCAGAGAATGATTCTGACAATGTCAAGCGCACTGGGCTGGGAGTCCAGGGCCTTGGTGGGGGTTCTCTCTCTGCCATTGACTAGTTGTGTGGCCATGAGCCTGGCACTGCCCATGTCTAGAACAAGCCAGGACCCTCAACTAGAATCCAGGGCCAGATGGCCCCCTCAGTGCCTTCAGTCTTAATGGTTTTCGGGTCTGCAGGTGTGAAGCCCAGTGCACTGCCCAGCCCTGCTAGTTTATACCTTCCACCCTCCACCCTCTTAGAGATGCTGTGGGCAGGAGGCGGGTAACAGTTTCAACGGTCCTCAGAGGTTCTCCAAGCTTTGCCAGCTCTGCCGTCCTCTACTTGATGCTGCCACTGGTAGCTGCTCCTGTGAGTTTGGACTTTGCCAGATTGGGGGGGGGGGTGTCCATAGGGAAGGAGCATGGGGGGATGGGAACGGTAACCATCCCTGTGTCTGCCAGAGAAGCAGCTAGCCACAGGGCTAAGACAGAGCTTGAAAGTTCAGCTTGTGGATCCTCTGCCCACAGGGAGCTCCCAGTCTGATGGAAGAGAACTGGGCCCTGTCCCATAGCAGCTTCCAGTCTGAGGGAATGACACACCCGAAGAAATGCCACCATGCATTCAGTGAAACATACGAACAGGTGCTAATAAGTGCAAAGTAACCTAGGTATGCACTTAGCCCACAGAGCAGAAGAAGTAAAATAAATGTGGAACCTGGGAAGTTAATCCAGAAAGGCAGCCTGGACCAGGGCTGTAGGTGGGTTGAGGGGAGGCATTCAGAAGGGTCTACCAGATGGCCAGGAATTCAGAAACAAACAGTTAAGGGTAAGGAGGTGGGATGGATTTACCCCGGTGGCTGGGGGATGGAGCCCCACAGGGGCCTGGCTAAGAGGAGTGGGCGTGGGAAGGGGGGGAAGGGACCCTCCCTCAGGTGACCCTGGAGAAGCCCTGGGCTGCTTAGAAGAGAGCTGCTTGGCTTCCAGTCCCCTGGCTCCCCCGCAGCTGCAGTGTGACCTTGCACAAGTCTCTGGCCCTCCTCTGTGAGAAGAGGGGTCTGGACTAGATGCTCTCTGAGGACCCTCCCCAGACTGACCCTCTGTGCCCCCATCCAGAGGCCAACTGTGAGCCCATCTATCAAGTGGATTCAAACACAGAACTCAAAGTGCCTGCCAGGACTTTCCTGGGGCACAGACGGGGCCTCGGCCCCTGGCGGAGTTCCCAGCCCCATGGGGCAGGCCACTATGGGGCTCCCAAGAAAAACAAGGTCAGAAGGGCTTGAGCCCCAGTTCTGCTGCCATCTTCCTGTGTGACCTCAGGCAGCCCCCCAGCCCTCTTTGGGCTTCACAGAAGGGCTAGGGGTGCCCTTTCCCTCCCGACCTTCTACAGTTCTCGAATGACTTTCTTCCTCCTCCATTGCAAAAGCTCCCAACAGGCCTCCTATGACTTGTACTGGGGCAGGGGCTCTGGGGCTGCTTCCTGTAGATTCTCCCACCAGGAGGGGTCCTGCCAGTTAGGACAGCTGATTGGGAGCAAAGGAAAAATGAGCAGTGTTCTGGGAGTGGACCCCTGTGCTCCTACTCTATACCGAAGCCAGCAGCCCAGCCCTGGCCCTGAAATGGACTCCACCTGCAGACCCCCACCCCAGGCATGTCAGGGAGGAGGGAGGGTGGAGGGATGCCGTTGGTGGGAGGTAGCAGGTGAAGGGTCCTTCATGCCTTCCCTTTCTCTGCCCCGTCTTATCATGTACACCCTACAGCCACCTCGACGCACACAGTCCGCCCCTCCAAGGGGCACAGAGAGTGAAGGCCACCCCTCCCCTGATGGGATGCAATTCATCAGCATTGACAGAAGCTGGGATGCTGTTCCAGGGCCTCCTCCCTCACACACACTTGCCCACGGGGTCCTTCTTCCACAATCTGTTCCCTGCCCCCTCCGGGCTCCGTTCCAGATTCCAGATCCCCTGTGAGATGGCTCTCTATCAAGGGAAGGGACGGGCCCAGGGGAGGGGAGCTGGACTGTGGCTAGCCCACCGGGCAAGGACCACATCCCTCAGGGAGGGAAGAGAGGAAAAGAAGGCAAGGAAAGAACACTCCAGCAGCTGCAACATCTCGAGGAAATCTCCAGTGATGCCAGAGCCACGGGGTGACCCTCCGCCCCAGCAAACCTTGCTTCAGGAACAGACACAACAAAGCACCAGATGCATCCAGCAATTAAAGTGCTGCCTTTGTTAGAAGATGAGGAACTGGGCTCTTGTGGGCGGGGCACGCAGAGCACGTGTGCACACACTCCGTACGCACACAGAGCACGCATCACAAATGCACTCTCTCCGAGCATCCCTACTCATTCACACGCCTGCCAACCTCACAGATGTGCACAAGCAGGGGCATGCCCCTCACAAACACACACACACACACACACACACTCCCAGGCGTGGTGGTTTGTATAGAAGCTTGTTGGAAGGAGGGAGGGGTCAGGAGCACATTTACCCCATACCTAAAACAATAACTAAATAGTCTCACAGCACTCTGAAGAATACCCATTCACATGCAAGCCATCGCTGAGTTAATTACAAAGATTCTTATCTGTTCATTAAAGCAGACTGGAGGGCCTTCTATTTGGAAACACTTTGCAGTTAAAGGGACTATGTTATTAACTCTAATGAAATGATTTATTCTGGGCCCGTGCCTGGTGAGGTAGAACCAGAAGCCCTCATTCAGAGGGTGTGCCCTGGTTCCTGGGCTGACATTCTCTGCATGGAAGCCAAGATTTCTGGGAGGACAGGGACAGAGATCCTGGAGAGATTATTAAAACACCTGTGGATGGAGAGAGCCCTGCTGAGGCTGGCTGGGAGGAAAGGGCACCCCGGGTGATTTGGGGGTCACCCTAGCCAAGCTGGCCTAGCATGGAAGGCAGTGGAACTGACTCCACCCTGATTCAGTTCCCTGCCTATGAAATGGGGATTCAACAGCTCGTACTTCAGAGGGTTCTCGTGAGGATTAAATAAATTATTGCACGTGACACCCAGATAGAGGGAGCAAGGTGATCTAATGAGGCTCTGTCTCAGACCAGGGTCCGCCACCAGGAGAGTCTCCTTCCCAGTGTGGAAATGTAGCCCAATGTAACAAGCTCCGGGCGTCCTCCCAGCCTCCAATCCAGCATCCCAGCTTCATCCAGGGGCAGCTTGACCCTGGGGCGGCCCTGGGTGTAGGAGGCAGCTGAGGGTACTCCCAGGTACGGAGGGCCCACTAGCAACAACAAGGAGCAAGGATCCCAGCAAGGGTGGGGCGAGCAGGGTGGGGAACTCACAGAGGAGAAGGGGCGCTGAGAAGGGAGGGCCCGGCTCAGGGGAGGTGGACCAGGTCTAGGGTCTGAATTCAAGCCTGAGAGCAGGCTTGTTAGCTGGGTGTTTGTGGATGGGCTCAGGGAGTCCACGACCTGTTGAAATGGTACATGAACTTGAGGTAGGTATGGGGAAGGGTGTAAGTCATCACTCCAGGCCCTACGCAACCCCTCCTTCACCCTGTAGGGTCCCAGCAGAAACCTCTCCCCAGGTCACACCTAAAGGAGGCATTTCTACAGTCAATGAAGCCACTCATCTCAACAGGGAGTAGAGGTCACAACCAAAATAAAATGGGACCAAATCTCCAGCCCCAACTGGCCCACAAAGGATTCCCAGATTAAATGGAAACGAATTGGCACGTATTCTCTTTGGGATGCTCTACACTCTGGGGCCGTCTGCTAGACGGGGAGGAAAGGGCAACAACTTTGATTCTTCTCCACTGGGGACCCATGGAGGCTGGAAGGCAGCCCCAGCTGGTCCCCAACCTACACAGTGGGCAACTCCCACATTTCCTGGCCCACCCAAACCCACAGCCACTAGGCAGGCATGACAGGAGCTATCTTCAAAGACCAGATTGGAAGAACCCTACCTTCGACTGCTCAGGCTCACCCCTACCTGTGACTCAGTCTCCTGTGAAAAGAGGTTCTACTGTCTCACCTGGATTGTTTCCCCGGGGGGTAGGATGGAAGAATGGGAAGGAACAAAGTCCAACTGGCCAAATAGATAGAAAACGTATTAGGAAGGTCAAAACTTTCTTCTGGAAACAACAGAAGGAGAACTTGTGCTGGTAAAGGGAGAAAACTCAGAATCTAGCAAAGACTCAGAAGCAAGAGAAGGTCCTGGGGATTTTGGAAATTCACCAGGGTTCTCCCCCTGAGCTCGTGAGCAGACTGGGAAGGCAGACATGGCCTAATAAGACTTTGGACTGTATCCCAAGGTCAACGTGCATCACTGGAGACTTCTACAGAGTGGTCCAGGGAGACTGGGTTTTGGAAAGACGGCTATGATGCAGAGGGATGAGGAAGGACTGGGGCCCGATGAGCGATGGAGCTACGCTAGGTGTCAACTGAGGCCAGGAATGGAAATGCTTTCCCAAAGAGCTCTCTTGAGGTTCTCAAATCCTTCCTTTCAATTATTTATTCCTCTAGATTCCCTAAGGTCCGGACCCCCAAGAGTCTCTTTGCCCTGGGATAGTCATATCATTCAGTAAGAAGAAAGGACTTTGGAATTAACAGGGTGGGTTTGAATCTTGGTTCGGCCATTTACTTCTTGCAAGTCATTTCAAATCAGTATCTCAGTTACTCAATCTGTAAAATGGGGCTGAAGTGGGCCTCTTCCCAAGGTTCATGTGAAGATCGATGATCTTTTCCACACAGTCTTAAGGCACATAGTAAGTGCTCAACAGATGTTGGAATATTACCAGCATGTCTTTAAATTCCCAGCACATGACCCATTACCAGCACCGGAAGGAATCCATTCCAATTCTGGAAGAAAACAAGACCCAGAGCAATGGAATGATTTGCCCAGATTCCTAGAGTACATTGATAAAGGAGCTGGGATTCAAATCCAATTCTTCCGACCACCGTCCCATCTTCCCAGCTGCCTCACTCCCAGGCAGACTTGACCTTCAGGTATTTTGGTGAAATGACTGCCCCTCATCATGCTTTCAGGCTGTGTCGGTTGTCAGGTCTAAATCCAATGCCTTCTCGCCACCTCTCCCCTGATCACAACCCCATCTTCTCTCTGTCAGGGAGCATCTGCTTCCAAGTGCCGTTAAGACCTAGGCCGGGGGTGTTGCAGGGGCCGCTCGGCGGAGTGGTTGGATCTGGGGGGAGAGGAGGTGAGGCACCGAGGAAAGAAGGATGTGAAATGTTCATCTCGTCTCCACTCTCTCCCCTGGGCTCGGAGCCGGGCTGAGGGATGGGCCTGTGCTCTGTCAGCAGCCCCGGTCCACGATGGATGCGGAACCTGGTAGGATGGTGTTGGCAACACTTGGTGAGATTCATTTTCCTGCAGCGAGGGGAGAAAAATGCGGCCTCTGTGTCATCCATCTGCTCTGCAGCGAAGTGGTAAACAGGCGAGCCTCACGGAGAGCTGCCTGGAGCCGAGCCTAGCTCAGCAGGCCTCCCGCGGGGGCTCGAGGCCGGGAGGAAGTGCCGGGATTCATTTCCTTGGGTGCCCAAGGCTGGGAGGACTCCTGAGCGTGGCCCTATGGGGTGGGACCCTTGGTGGAGTCACACACGCCTTCAAGAACCAAAAGTTAGATGGACCATGATTCCATTTCATAACCCAAGGGGAAATGGCTGGGGTCCCCCACGTTCCTGAAGCCCTGCCTTCCGGTGTTGGGCTGCTCCTTTCCCCGTGTTACTCTCGGGATCCTACCCGTGACCAGCTCACAAGTCACCACTCCAGGGAGGCTTCCCAGATCCTCCCAGCTTTATCTCTCAGTGCTCAGTAGTTATCTTAGGTAGGCTTTAGGTCACCAAATAACTTCTATCTACCTCTGCCACGCACAGCCATATCATTTCTGAGCCTTAATCCTCCCAGCTTTCCCTGTAGTGAGTTACCTGCATTCCAGGGTAATCAAGGACTCAGCTAGAACACTCGTAAAACCAAAGTTCACCATTTCCCTCCCAGGCCAGAGGCCACCCCTTGGCAGGTTCTATCAAATGCTCTTGTCAAGTACATTGTGCTTCCAGGAAAACACCTAGACACTTCGACTGGGGTTGACCCTTCCTTCTCCTGGCCTGCCCCACCCCTTCCTCCTCTCCCCACACCCCATCATTTCTTCCTGTACCACCTTTTCTCAAGTCCTCGTCAACGATCCCTACATCTGTTCTCGGCACCAAAGTGCTTTCATGCCTACTCTCCTGTCTCTAGACCTCCCTTGCTAAGACGGGCTGCAACTATAATTATTTCATTTAACAGATGGGTTCCAAATGTTCTATTCCATTTAATAGATGGGAAAACTGAGACCAACATAAACACAAGTCTTGCCCACGGTGACACAAAGTCAAAGCAGGGACTGGGGCTAGATTGATTCTGAACCTTCAGAAGCAATCCCTCTCCACATTTTTAAAGTTCTCAGCCCCATCGCGAGGCCCTGCTGGCTCCTTTGTCACCAGCAGGGACAGGGCCAACTCCAGTGCTCTTTCTATTTTCCCACTCCCTCGTTTCTACCAGGACCATTACGACACCCTCCTACCCAGCCTCTCTGCCCAGCTCTCCCCACTGCAGCCTTTGGCTTCAGAATCACCTCTAATCTGTATCTGATCATCGTGCTGCCCCTCAGGGATGCTGCCCTCCTCCCCTCTCCCTGCCCTATGTAGGTGCCCTTTGCTGCAGGTGGAGGGGGTGTTGCAGAGTTAAGGCTTAGGCTGCCCCAGGTGAGAGGTCCTTGCCGATGCTTCTGATCTGCCTCCTTGTGTGTGCACGCCCCCTCCCCACCGCGAGGATCCCCTGGGGAAGCGGGGAGGGCAGCTCATCCACGCAACTACATACACCAGACTTTGCTTAAACCTCCTGGTATTGCCCCCATCTCTTATCTCCCAGACTTTCACCAGGAGAAAAAGCGTGCAAGGGAGGGCCGGGAGACCTGGGTTCTCTCATTCAGTGCCCCTCTTAGCCGGGCCTTGGACCATAGAGACAGTAGGGAGGTGACAGCCCAACCGAGCCCCCAGGATCCACAGATCTGCCATGTGGCATTGGATGAGTCCCTCCCCTCCCCATCTGTTAAGCAAGAGGGAAGAATCCAGGAGATCTTAGCTCCGGGTCGGGGGTGCGGACAATTTAGAGAAGCTGATGAAAACCACGCACCCTCCCCCCATTACTTTTCTACTTATACAAAATTTCACACACTACTCAGTGGGGGTGGTGAACCCCTAAGGACCCTCCCATGGACTTCCCCTTAAAACTCCAAGGAGACTACTTCAGAAGCCCTTGTAAGATGGTTCCTAAGGACCCCAGCTTCAGCCCTTTGAGGTGCACCGCTTCCGTGCGCCCAGGCAGAGCAGTCCCTGTCCCCTGGCTGCAAGCCCCAGGAAAGGTTAGGGGAGGGAGCGTTTCTCCCTCATCCCTCACCTGGGGTGTTAGTGGAACTGGCAGGACCGTTACTCACGGAGCCAGTCCCTCGCTCCAACGCTGGCCCACCCCCTCCTCCGAAGAACAGAATTAAAAGAGATTTGTCCTCGAGCTGCGACAGCTCATCAGCAGCAAGGAGTTCCTGGGCCAGCAGTTGGGGGCAGGGATGCTGGGTGAGATCCTGGACAGGAGGCTCCATCCCCTTGGCCTTGGTCCTCCTGCTCTTAGCAGCCATCTCCCTCCAGCCCTCTCTTCCTGTCCCCCTTTCAGCCAAGGGACATTTTAAATGAATTCCATTTAAAACTTCAGAAGCAATCCCTTCTCACATTTTTAAAGTTCACAGCCCCAGCATTAGGCTCTCATTCTTATCTGTTCACGCTTTTGTTCAACAAGTAGCTCAATTTGTCATCTCTTTGCTGAAGCGTCCGGATCCCTCCAAGCTGAATTATGGTGCCCTGCTTGGAACCATCAGAGTGAGTGCTTGCTCGGGGCATCATACACTTGTTCCTCAGAGTGAGGGCTCCAGCTGCCAGCCTCTCTGCCTCTCCTGGGCGTGGGGGTGAGCTACTTGAGGGCATGGACCATTTGCATTCATGTGTGCAACTCCGACCTGTGCCTGGCAAAGAGCACATGCCAACCTGGCAGACCGCATCTCCTGATGGTGGGTCCACCAGGTGCCCAGCACTGTGTAGCCACAAAGGGGCTGACCAAGAATGATGCACCTAGTAGAAGTGACAGGTGCAGAATCCAACAAAATGCCACTGTGACCAGTGAGGCAATAGGGGTGGGCACTGCCATGCCCACACTCTGCCCTTTATCTACTTACCCTCCATCTCCGGCCACACTGGCATACACTCAGGCTCGCCCAGGCAGACAAGGTCCCCAGCTCACCAAGATCTCTTGGCAGTTATCACCTCTGTCCAGGACACTGGGGCCAGAAGAGAGAGCTTAGTGCCAGCTCTGCTCCTTGAGAGGATTGTGAGAAATTCCCTCATGGCTATTCTTACAAAGGATGAGGAGGGGCTGGCAGAAGGGAGGAAGGGAAGAAGACCATACTCTCAGTCTGCTCCAACCACTTGCTTACTCCGGACTCACTGTTGAGAGAATATTATCCCAAATTATCTCAAACACTATGGGAACAGCAAACTCACTACAGGAAACAACTGAAGCCCTCAGAATTTAACTTAGAGGACCTGCTTTGGGGGACCTTCCTACGCCCCTAGATCTCCTCCTTTGAGGGGCTTGCAACTGCAGCAGAAGTCTAGATGGAATCCCCATGGCACCCAAGGTCTCAGTTCAACAGGCCCCAAGGAGGAGCACCACTCAGACCCAGGCAAGATCCCGCCCTCGGTTGGCAAATGTCTTAAAGCAGCAGGTAGCAAATATTTCAGGCTTTCAGGCTGTATGGTCTGATCTCTGTTAAAACAACTCTGATCTTTTAGCCCAAGAGCAGCCGTAGACAATACTTGAACAAGTGGGCACAGCTGTGCAGCAATACAACTTTATTTACAAAACCAGGCAGCTGTCTGCTGGAACTCAAGTATCACACACACACACACACACACACACACACACACCTTAAAGAACACGTGGGCACCTCTTGTCACTCAGGATTGTTATGTTCAGCGCTGGCACGTATAGCCCCTAATCCTAAACCCCTGCTCTCTCGATTAACACTGTTCAGGCTCCAGGGAAATGGGTCTCCACATCTTTTGCTCTGGGTTTGCTGAATAAAAAGACAACAGAGTCAGAACGCTGAGAATGTTTCTGGGACCTGCTGCTGCTGACAAATGGCTCCACTGGATGGAATGGAGAACACGGGCCACATAAGAGCCACAGAAGCACTTGGGTAAGATGAGTTAATTAGCTTTTCAAATCCTTGCTCTCAGATAGCATGAATGCAAAAGATTCTTAAAAAACAAAGTATCATTTCCAAGCAATGCCAAGTGTCCTTTTCTAGCTGTTCCAATTAACGGTTCTGGAAGTACTCACAATTCTCAAGTTATTATTTGTAGTGTTAGCTCTAGTTGACAGAGCAGCTAAGGAACATTTTGCTACATTCAACAATTCATATTAATCATATGGTATAAATGTAGGTCTAGATGTAAAAAGCATGACACTGATTCATTACGTTAACAAAAAATTGTACTTTTAACACTAGAGTTGTGAACAATTTTTTTAATAAAAATATTTAATAATACTTAAATAACTTTTCAAAACATTTTAAACATTTCAGATTAGTTAAATAATTTTTATTAATTTTTATATTCATTAATTACAATGGGAATTGCACCTTTTAATTTTAATAGATCATTTTTAATACTTTGATGAAAGATATATGAAAAAGGGTTAGTTTTTAAATATTTTACTATCATTTGAACTTAAATGCTTAATGAAAATATTTTCGAATTTTGTACACTTTGAATAAAATTGAATTTTATTTTTTAATTCTTTAGCTGAGCTGTCCAATAGAGTATCCATTCTCTACATATGACAATTGAGCACTTGAAATGTGGCCAGTTTGAATAGAAATGTGCTGTAAGTGTAAAATGCACACAAAATTCTGGAGACTTTATATGAAAAAAAGGAACGTAAAGTATGTCATTAATAACATTTTATATTGTTTACCTGTTTAAATAACAGTTTGGACATCTTGGATTGAATAAATATATTATTAAAATTAATTTCACCTGCTTATTTTTGCATTTTAAAACGTGGACTAGACTCTATATGTGACTCACGTATTTCTATCAGATAGGGCTGCTTGAGATCATTACTGTCAAGAGAACACAAATTATATGAAAATCCTGATTATAACAACAAAACTGGTGATTTTGCTGACATAATGGCAAAAAAGATAAATTTTAGGGAGTAAATATGTGATAATTTAAGCATGATGCACATCTTTTTTTACGTGATTTTAACACTGA